AAGGAGAGAGAGAGAGAGCTCGGCTCCAAGGAGGTTACAGATAAAGCAGTGGTTGTTTAATCCAGTCCATGTCCTTCACAGGTCAGCTGTCAGTCTGATACAGCAGCCCAAAGGGGTAAACAGAAAGACTAGTCAGAGTCCAGACAAGGTTTAAGGCAACTGGCAACCAATCCAAGAATAAGGCAAGAGCAAGGCTTCTCCCAAGGAAGACCAACAGTTGTCAGCCATGCTGGACCAAGGAAAGTGCTAGGATATATACAGCATGTGCAGCTCCCTATTAGCAGCCTGCTTCTTACTTAACCACAGAGAATACCAACATCTTTCCCTTTCCTGTCATCTTTCTGCACGGGTAGATATTGGTAAGTCAGGTTCATATTCTGGGTGTGGGGGAAGCAATGGTGAACTTGATTCTAGTAGCTGCTGGGAGCTAGGCCCTTGTGCTGATGAGCTTGGTTCTAGTGGTTCCTGGGAGCTAGGTCTCTGTGTTGGCTGCAGGCCCACCTCCTGGAGATACTCTGGCATGCCCCCTGGGCTCTCAACCTCTTCTTTTCATTCCTCAGACTCGGAAGACAAGCAGGACATGACAGCCTCCCTCCTGACCAGTTCTGTGGGTGAGCACCTACTACATTCGGCCCTGGCCCCACTCAGGATTGATCTGGAGGTAGGTCAGAGAAATCTCCCTGCAAGTGTGAAATCTTATGTAGCCAAAACAGCATCACCCATACACAGGAAAGAAGTATCAGCAGACTGAAGTGTCAGACCCATATCCATGGTTCTGTCATGATAATATAATGATATGATGATAAGATGATATGGTGATACAGTGTTATGATAAAATGTTTATTGAAAGGGGAATGGAAATTATGCAGTAAGCCTAACTTGGGAAACAATGGGAGCAGCAAATGGCCAGTGGTGAGAGAAATTTGTGGGTTTATGTCCCAGAGAAACTAAGACTTGAAGTTTTGCAATTGTGTCATGACACCAAAGCAGCCAGACATTGGGGACTCCTGAGGACCTGGTACTTGTTAAGAAAACAAAACTGGTGGGATGGGATCAGGTAGGAGGTAGAGACTTATGTCAAAGGCTGCCTGGTTTGTGCCCACACCAAGTTGGTAGGATGCAAGCTGGCCTTGTGGGATCATGCAGCCACAGCTCACACCCGGTGCCTCCTGGAGGCACACAGCTATGGACTTTATACCAGGCTTACCTGATAGTAAGGGGCAAGACACCATATAGGTGGTAATTAACTTATTCTCAAAACAGGTGCATTGCCTACAGCAGCCAAACTGGCTGATTTGTTCATTGTACATGTGTACAAATTACACGGGCTGCCCGAGAGGATTGTGAATGATCCAGGTAGCCAGTTCGCTTTGCAATTTTGGAAGGCACTGCAGGAAAAAATGGGAATTGAGCAGGCAATAAGCACCTCTCATCATCCAGAAAAAGATGGGTAGATGGAGAGAACGAACACTACTCTGGAGCGATACATACATTGTTATGGCAACTATTTGCAGGACTTATTACCACATGCTGAAGTTGCTTTCAATGGGGCCATCAGCCACAGTACAGGTCATTCACCATTTGATATTGTTTATGGCTATGAGCCAAAGACCCTGCCTTCACTGATGATGGAACCCACAGACCCTGTCCTGTTCGTTCAATGGATTACATAAATCAAAGACACATTTGGCCCCAAATTGTAACCACTTTGAATGAGGCAAAGACAGACTATAAAAGATGTGCTGATTGTAAGAGGGGCAAGGAATAGGACTTGGTGTCAGAGAGCAAAGTTTACTTGTCCACTAAGCATGTGAAAACCTGACAACCATCTAAGAAACTGGGGCCAAAAATATGTGGGGCCATTTGTGGTAAAAAGACTAGTCAATAAAGTGGCTACAGAGTTAGATTTACCTAAGTCCTATAGACATCTACATCCAGTGTTCCATTTTAGCCACTCAAGCTGGCTTTGGCTGCAGACCCCTGGCGGGCAGAACCAGGATCACCCCACTACTGGTGATGGAAGGGGAACAGTACTTTGAAGTGGCTGGGATTTTGGATTCAAGATTACACAGGGGCAAGCTGCAGTATTTGGTCTGTTGGAAACACTTTCCAGAGTCCGAGAATAAGTGGGTATATGCCCACCATGTGGATGCTCCTGAACTGACTCAGTTATTTCACGACAAACAGCCAGACAAACCAAGGGAATGGGATGAATAATGTGGTAAGATTAATCCAGGGATGGAAGGATGTCAGATCCATATCCATGGTTCTGTCATGGTGGTATGATGATATGATGTAATGATGATATGATGATAAGATGATATGGTGATATAATGTTATGATAAGATGTTTATTGAAAGGGGTATGGGAATTATGTGGAATCCAAGCTTGGGAAACAAAGGGAGGTGGCAAGTGGCCAGAAGAGAGAGAAATTTGTGGGTTTATGACCCTGTTATTCCTGCAAGCAGATTGGGGCTGTAAACCAGGGATGCTCTCCTTCTTAAGTGTGATTGAATGATAATGCAGGAAAGGAAAGAGGAAACATGAAAGTTCACTTTGATCTGGAATAAGAGCTTGGGATCGTAGCTGGGGAGAGGGGCTGAATGATGGGAACTCTTAAGTATGATCTGGGGAAAACCTTTTCAGTTCTGACACAAACCCTGGACAGAGGAACTTCTTTCTCAGTTTCTGGAATAAAATATTTTGTTTTAATCACACTAAGATGTTTTCTTGGTTATTGGGAACTGAGTCTTCTGATCCTGGCATGAAGAGAGGCCCAAGGCTTAGAAGTACAAAGAAGATACCTTTAGAAATCTTGAAGGTGGAGTGTTTCCTATAGCCAACTGAAGATTAGATATGCTCTGTGGGCCCAGACAATTGAGAACTGAAAGAGATTAAAACTAGAGGAAAGGAAATACAATGGAATATCTGGGAAGAAAACATGGCTGTCTGGCTTGACCACTAATATAAGCATTCCAGACTGCATGATCACCATCATCATCACATCATCACTATCATGTTGTTTTATATCCCACCTTTCTCCGTAAGGTTGCTTTGAAAAAACTGGGGGGCACCCCACTTTTTAAGTAAACTATTCAATATGAAGCACACAGGCTGTTGTTGTTTTGTCTTTTGGGTGTGTTTTTTCATCTTCAGCATATAATTTGTAATTGGAAAGTATCATCCATGATGGCCCTGTAAATGCATGCAACCAGTCGCTTGTGAGAAGACTGAAAATGTAGCAATACAGAAGTAGCCAGTATGGGACAAGAAATTTGTGAGAAGCAACTCCACACATATCTTCCCTGCCAATAAGAGAACACAAAGTATAAATGAGACACAGATGAAAGAGCCCAATGCAAGTGGGTTGTTGCCTTACATGTTATGTTGCACAATACGTTAATGTTTCAAGCAGTTCAGTTTTTTAGCACCTATGAATTAGATCAGAGAATGGGGTGTTCACTGCTAAAAGGCTTCCAACAAAAACAGAACACCATTTGTTAGGTGGTGTCAAAACACAAAGTACTTTTCCTCCAAGGTTTTGTAATGTGGAGACAAACCAGAAGCAGAAGGGTGACATTGAAAACATGTTTCTTCTAGCAACAAACCCCCAAAAGGATATGTTGATGCTAATTATTCTAAAAGAAGAGGAGAGCAATCATGAAGGGAAGGCATCATTGTTGCACAAGCATAATTAAGTATGACACACACCACACACACACACACACTTTAAGCAATCACACCCAGTATCAACATTCTCTACACTAAAAATAAAGAGCAAAACCTGTGCTCAGATAAGCCTCATGAATATCTGAAAGATGAATAAATGAATACAGCAATTTTGTTTTTTATGTTTTAGGGATTAGTATTTTGTTTTATCCTGTTGAGAACATGAATTTCTAATTCCTCAGGAATTCTGAATTCACAGCAATTACATATATACCAAAAGAGGACAGTGGAGAGTGGGAGGAAGAAAGAATTGCCTTAACTAACATATGGCTGTGACTCTGCAATCTCTCTAAAAACTCTCCAAAAAAAGACACCTTAGGAATGTGTCCTCCAAAGAGAAATTAAATGCTTCTATAACCATGAACTTTAAGAAGCACATTTGATTTAGGGAAGAGAAAGGAGTCTGACAGAATGTTATTTATCCTTTTAAATAATCATGGGAAAAATACATTTTTGGCATTTTCTAGTATACCAGCATCCATTCACCTATAAAAGATAAATTTCTGTGGACAGAGAACTACTGCTGATTTGTCTATACCACTGCATACATGTTATTTTGATTGGGTTTTATTCTCGGCAATCTTACACAATAATTATATATCCTAGCTTTAACCTCAACCTCAGCCTAAAATGGCTTCTGGGTACATGAAAGAATTAATAACATTTTCCCCAAGTACATGCTGCATTTTCCTTGTAACTATTATTTTAAGCTTCATTAATGGAATGTAGTAAACATCCTATTGTGGCAGGAAGAGGGGCTAGTGATGGGCAAAATGATAAGGCAAACTTCACACTCCATCCTGGTTCCAGCCAAGGCAGGAGGTCAAGAGGGTGTTTTTGCCAAACTCTACCCATCAGGGGCTTTTTCACACTGCACAATTATAGTGCTATGATCCCTCTTTAATTGTATCCCATGGAATGCTGGTATTTACAGTTTAAGGAGGAGTATTCAGAATTCCCAACTAGAGAGCTCTAGTGCCACAGCAAACTACAAATCCCAAGATGTTGCCATGGCAGTTAAAGGGCAATCACAGTGTTATAATTATTTGGTGTGAAGGGGACCCAGAAGATCTGGAGTTTAAAATGTACAAACACAGATGCACATATGCATTGCTGTTGTTGATTGTGTGCCTTCAAGTTGTTGCTAACGTATGGTAAACCTATCATAGATTTTTCTTGTCAAAATTTGTTCAAAGAGGGTTTGCCTTTGCCTTTGCCTTCCCCAGAGGCTGAGTGTGTGATTTACCCATGGTCACCCAGTGGATTTCCACAGCCGAGCATGGATTCGAACCCTGGCCTCCAGAATCGTAGTCAATACTCAGACCACTAGAACATGCTGGCTCTCTCATGTATACATACTGACAGTAATAGCAATGGAAGGAAGAGATAAACAATGGCATCTGATGGGCCTTTGTCTGTGCCCATCTGGGGAAATGAGTTAACATTAACTGCAGCAGATCCAAAGTGAAATACTCCTTACTCCAAATACCACCTGTTACTATCAGGAACAGCTCTCCCCCAACAATGATAGCTCTCCTCACTGGTAAATAGGCATCGCTCCCCCCATTCTAACCTACTGCACCCATCAACATCACAACAGTCTAGGGCAGGAGTCGGCAAGTTCCCCTTACCTTGGCCAGGCCGGGGATCCCCGGGTCTTCTGGGGGCCAATGGTGTTGGGGGGAAATGGCGGCGCATGCGCTCACGCACATGTGCACAGCCCCCACCGACCCCGCCACTGCCAACACCGTGCACGCTGCCTCCGCGCTGCCACCGCACATGCTGCCACCGCACTGCCATTGTGCGTGTCACGTCTGTCATTTTGTTTTCCAAAATGGCAGCCGTTTCTCATTTGCGCATGCGCAGTACTCCTGCGTATGCGCAAACGAGCCGTGGCCGCTATTTTGGAAAACAAAATGGCAGCCATGACTCAGCGTATGCACAAATGAGTCACAGCCACCATTTTGTTTTCCAAAATGGCATCCACGGCTCGTTCGCACATGCACAGGAGTACTGCGCATGCGCAAATGAGTCACCGCCGCCAAACAAAATGGCGCGCGTGGTGGCAGCGTGTGCTGCAGCACGCGCCGCAGCAGTGGGGGCCAGTCGGCAGGCCTCGGTGGGCCGGGTGCGGTCTGCAGCCCATAGGATGCCATTAATCTCTAATCATCTTAACTACAGGTTAAAACTAAAAGTTGCCATTTAAACTGAACTCTGGAATCATCAAGATTTAATAAGCTTATAAGTAGTCTCAAGACTGTGGCTTTAATAAGTAAACATAATTAGTTACAATTATCCCAAGTCCAACTCCACTAGCGTTTAAATAAGATGAGAGACTTCTTTGACTCAACTAATTTGGTTCTGAATTGGCATAATAAAATATATTAATCAAATATACTTTAAGAATAGGCCCACATGGGGATAAACTGCTCTGATCTAGATATACTACACTAGTTCATGTGGTTAGGGTTTATGTATTATTTATTCATATTTATTTAATTTAAATCCTATCTTTCCTCTTAAGAACTCAGAGTGACTAACAGTTCACATAAAAACCACACTGTTAAAATAAAAAATTACAAATATTTAAAAACATATTACAAATATCTCCTAAGATACCAAAATTCAATAAAAGCCATACAGGCAACAGTAAAAGACAGATCAAACATTTGTTTATTCCCTCAAAGTTTGATAAATAGATACTTTTATTTGGAGTTTGAAAGATAAGAGTGTGGAGGCAGCAAATAACATAATGTAACAGTTCCATACCCAAGGTACTATTACCAATATGGCCCTGCTACACAGAATCATAGAGTTGGAAGAAACCACAAGGGCCATCCTGTCCATCCCCCTGCTCTGCAGGAATGCCCAATCAAACCACTCCAGACAGACTGCCATCCAGCTTCTGCTTAAAAACCTCCAAAGAGGGAGATACCACCACACTCCTTGGCAGTGTATTCCACTGTTGAACAGTTCTTACTGTCAGGAAGGTCTTCCTAATGTTTAGGTGGAATCTCTTTTCCTGTAATTTGAACCCACTGCCCCATTCTTAGTCTTTGGAGCAGCAGAAAGCAAGCTTTCTCTATCTTCGATATGACATCCCTTCAAAAATTTAAACATGGCTATCATGTCACCCCTATAGTTTCTCTTCCCCAGGCTAAACATACCCAACTCCCTAAGCCTCTGGAAACCATTCTTTATGAAGAGCAGCTTAGGGGAAAAAATTGGCTATGTGAAAAAAATTGTGACACACAAGCAAACTTTAATGTACATGGTTTTACACTGCAGTGGCTTACACAGTTCAAATGTATAAAGGACCAGTGTCCCCACCCCAGATGTTACTGGACATATTGGTAATAGTACCTTGGGTATGGAACTGTTTCTATCATTCCACAGAGTGGCAGATAATCTGTGCTGACAGTGGTTGTGGTTCAACAACATCTGCAGATCCAATGGTTCCTTATCACTAGTTTAAAGCTGTGGTTGAGGGCTGTTTGTCTTAATTTTCATCTGCTCATTATTAACTGTAGTTACTAGTTACAGACTCCTTTAGAGACCAAACAATGCCTAACATTATCATACCGTACAGTCATGATTCTCAAGCTGCTATGGAAGATCAACAGTCAAATAAACGGATTTAATAATACCACCACAATAATTCTTGTGTCAAATTCCAAGGATTGAACAAAATATAGCAGGATTATAAAGGAATGTATGGAGAAGTCAGTGTTTCTGTTTCCTCAGATTTCCATTTCGTAGTTCAGTACAAGCCTGAATTATTCAGGTAATGTTAGGTGGAAATGTCTCATATAAATAAATTACCAAAATGATAAAATATGGCACAGGAGAGGTTGATCTGGGCACAGAATCTGTTTTGGGCCAGAAATTAATGCTCAAAGGAGATCCCTTAATACAGCCAGGGAGACAATACAGTTTTTGCCAAATCTGGGGGCATCTTACCTTTTATCTGGGACAAAAACAGTGTCTTCAGAGAAGTGTAGAACAGACTAGAAGCCATGTGGCCCTCCAGATGACATTGGACTCCCAATTCCCAGTATTTCTCCCCACTGACTGAAACTGCTGGGACTGGAAGTCCAAAAAAATATAAGAACCACATGATTCCCATTCCTGATGCAAAGGGGTGGAAATATGGCAGAGGAAAAATATGGAAATGTATTTATTTAGTTAATTTATATCCCAGCTGTCTTCCCATATGGAACCCAAAGCTGCTACCTATTTAAGTTAAAACAAAATCTTATTAAAACAATGGATAGTACAAAAGTTTCAAAACAATGAAACAAGCAATCATATTGAAAACATTAATTCTGAAGAGAGGCAACAAGGGGGTCAGCTAATTTGGATCTGATCCTAACCAACAAGG